GCATTTAAAATATAAATTAGTTTTTATTTTTATTTTTTATTTTTATTTTATTTTATTTATTTTTTTTTTTTTTTTTATTTACCAATTTTTTTTTGCTAACTATTGTTCTTCTTATTTTTGCTTCACATTATGCTGAAACAAAAAAACAAATAAATTAACTTAACGGCCGAGGTAATTTACCTATGTTTTTCTTAATAAAGGTATTTATGTTACCTAATCCTTATTTAGGTATCATACATTTTATTTTTTTTATATTAAAAAAAAAAAATTTTTTTCTTATTTTCCAAATGAAGAACGATCTTAATTTTTTATAATGTTGCCACACTGTTTATTTTAATGTGTGTAGAAATTCTATCTTTTTTTGGTAGAATATCTTTTATTTAACAAATTTGGTATTTGGCTGCTTGGCGCATTGTTGGCGGTGGCTATTCGGATAAATTTTTAACACGGGTAAAGTTTCCCGGATAAAATTTTTTACGAGCGTACAAAATTGTTCTATACGCAGTAGATTACAAATATCAAATATTTTAGTTAAAGGAATGTTCCGCGAAAAAAAAAAAAACAGGAACAATAGCCTCATCTCACTTTTATTATATACAATATGAGTAATTTTTTGTATTGAAAAAAAATTGATTCTGTGTGGCTATTATGGCGTTTAAATTAATTAAATGGTTCGAAAAGATGTATACAAATAAGTAAATGTAAAAACTAACAAAAAAAAGTTCCAAGAAAAATTACCCGCGTTTTTAAATTCTTTAAATTCTAAACTATAATTGAAAAATAAAAGATATAATTCTCATTAATCCCATTATCTCCTCATATTCACATATCCCAATATTTTCGGGATTTCACATATCCCAATGTTTATATTCTGATGGATGAATGGATCTGAGATTTCTCTATAATTTATTAATTTCAATTCGAATTTTTTTTTACATCAAGTAATTAAACGTCCGATGACTCCGATCATAGTTATGATTCTTTTTTACGGGAAAAATATAGCAAAATAAATATTAAATTGTATTTTATTTTAATAATAAATAGGATTATTCAGTATGTTATATTCGAAAAAAAAATTTGAAATACTACGGCGAGGCCGGCGACCAATAGGATGCTAACTAATGCTGACAAATATCATAAATTCATAAAAATAAAATAAAAATAAAAAATATCGGTAATCCGACGTATTCCTATTTCCTAATATTAAACAATATTAAACAATAAAAACAATAATAACAATATTTAATATTAATGTTTCGTATATTTGTACAATAATTATTATCAAATTCAACTATATTAAATAAATAATAAATATTAAAATTAAAAGGTGTTAATCAATGAGAGTCATATATGATTCTTAATTCGGTTAATTAATTGAATTGTTTTTAAATTTAGATTTATTTATAGTAAAGTTTTTTTAAAGTTTTTTTTTAAAAAAAAATGATGAATAGTAGGCAAAAGAGCGTTGTCGACTTTGTCAGGTAAACACGTGATGGATCAAGATTCAAATTTTTAAAGTAATGATAAGAATTACCAGAATTACAGAAATTCCTAATGTAAAAATTCCTAATAAGGAATTTTTTTTTAGCACTATAATTAAACGTGAGTGAATATAATAATATAATATGAAAAATGTAAAGATTCATAAGCAAAGTATAACGAATTATTACATATGGTTTCAATTTTATCTGAAGATTTACCAGTAAAAACTGAATTTGTTACTCTATAGTTCTGATTAGTCTTATTCAAGCTAAATTGAATAGTATTACCCCGGGACTTGGGGATACTGTACAGGAAATAATTTGATCATATACATATATATATATATATATATATATATAGTAAAGAAAGTACTTAACCAAATATCAAATTATTGCCCAAAATAAAATTAGAACCAGGTAAATGTTCCCGTAAAATTAACATATTTCACGAGCAGATCTACAGGAAATATTCGGACAAAATTTTTACAGGAGATAATCATTTGAGCGATCCCATTTTTTTTGTTTTTAATATTTCCCAAAAAACCAACATCACCAAAAACTGAGTTTCTCTATTTTTAAATCCGATCGTCATTCTAAAACATACGAAAAGAGTCCAATAATACGCTGAAGCTTCATACAATTATTTAAAAGAAATACAAAGGTTTAAGTCGAACTTTAAATTATATATTTCTAGACGATAATCTTTTTTATGTATATATAGTATATTCAATTTGTTATAATTTTATAAAATACGAGTATCGCCCGTTATAACGACATCTCGTTATAACTACCATTTTTTGGATTCCTTTGATGTCGTTATATAAAACATAATAAATCACATTAAAACGACAATTAGGTGCACGGACATTTACCTGATGTTAGAAAAATTATATAAAATAGAAAATTCAAAATCAATATCGATAGTTTGCTTCAATGCAACGGTTATTCCCTTCGTAATTCTAGAACACCGCAAAATTTTTCCTAGAAACCTAACCTCTCCTGATCTAATACAAAATCTTCGTTTATTATACTCCAATGTCTACTCTTTAAACATGTCAACTATGTAAATCAAAAGTATATCAAGTTATATAATATTTTACATAATTAATATTTTTGGAGTTTAAATTTGATAAACGAAGTTTTCATAATAAATTACTATAAAAAATGACCATTTTTTTTGGATGCACAGATCGAACAACTTCTTCTTTCTCAAATATTTTGACACTTATTAGTTCCTCCAAACCATATTTACAAAGCTACGAAGCTTTTTTTACATAAATTAGTAAGTTATTTCGCAATTTGAACTTTAAGTAGTTTGTCTATTTTGAGATCTGATTTTTTTAGGAATTTTATTTTATTGTTAATGCAAGAAATGGCCTCGTAACTTTGCTAATAATAAAATCGTATCCTTAATCTTTATATGCTTTTTTTCTCAAAATGCAGAATCGTTTAAAGCTGCACATCTAATTGAAATTGAAATATAATTATATATAATGGGTAGTCAAAATCATTTCGTATTAATGCTTTGTTGCATTATCATTATTACATTATAGAAATTAATTGATATTATCGTCATTATATTAATTTGTATATTTGCATTATTTTAATATTAAAATTTTAACAATATATTGCTAAAACATCTCCACGTTTAAATCAAATGTTAATTTCTTTGAATTAACTTTAAGTCGACTTTCGCTTCGGCTAGTATTAAGTTTAAGAGTTAAAAAATTTCTATTATACGCCCGCCAATCACATAATCCAATTGGTATGCCAAACGTTGAAGCACGTAGTAATATAGAAGATTATTTTATTATATTTACTGTATTTGAATATGATCCCTGAATACGTAATGTTTCTATTAATAGAAGCGAAAAGAGATACAAGTCAATTTTATACATCTGTACCCTGATCTGTACATTGAAGTTTTTTATTAATAATTACAATTCCGTACGCTAAACATTTAAAATTTTTTTTTTGTCAAGTGTAAAATTAAGAACGATATATGAAAGAAAAATTTTACATTTTACAATAATAATAAACAAAAAAAGCTTCTAAGAACTATCATTCAGACGAAGCTTTGTAAAAAAAAAAAATTATTTATAAAATAAAATTATTCTGAATCATCCTTGTTATTTTTTTTTCTTTTTCATCAGTATTTCGGCTTCCAAGATGTTAGATTCTATGTTTGCTGTTTCTTCTACACTAAGCTTTTGATACAATTGCAATTGTGCGGTGGGTTGGACAAAGGCAAAAGTCCCGAGCCTATTCCTACAGTTACTCTCCCGCCTGAACGAGCTGCTTCACCTGACGCTTCCCAGGCTTATTGCTGTCAATTTAACATATTTTCCTAAAAAACTTGAAGTTGTTTGACTTCCAATTTCGATATTACCCAAACTGAGAATAAAAAAAAAGTGAAAGGGATAACAATTTCTTGATGGATCTAAAATTTGTTAAAATTGTACGGATCTAAGATTATGATATCTTGTTTATATATGAAATGACATAAATGTAACCTGCATTTAATCCATCCAAAGATTCATCATGAATATATATCAAAATTTTATGATAAATTTGTACGTGGAGGTAATATTTATTGCAAATCCGTACATACGAAGTAAATGTTATCTGTACTCAAACTTTAGTCAATTTCTCATATCTGTACAATAAGAACCGACAAACTTTGACCCAAATTCTTTAAATCCGTACAACGAGTGAACGAGGTTTCTATTAGTATATTCAGGGGCCCTATTTGAATCAGAAAAGTTTTAGTTCGGAATCGTCCTTCCTTGAAACAATAAGCTTTAGTGCAGGATCACTTGCTCATAAAATTACTGGTTTGGACAGATACTAAATTTAGCATGAATGGAAACATTGTTCTGGATATTTTAAGTTCATCATCTTTTGTCAAGTTAATGGTCTATAACTTCCCAGGCAAAAATCTATTTACATTTTATACTGGTACCGATCGATTGTTTTTTTCCGAAATACATGAATATAAAACAATAGAGTTTTGACGTAATATTATGATCAACAGCATTTATTATGATCCGAAAAAAATAATTTACTTAAATATATATATTTTTTTTCTTTTTTTTTTTTGTATACAAATAATCGAGAAATCCTAATAAAAATATTTTTTTTATTTTTTTTTTTTACGGCAAAGAGACTTCAAATTGAAGCCGCACGTTGTAATAAAAATATTTTTGGTTACACCACGATTGCCCAACGTTTTGACTAGCGTTATAAAATTAATGTAGGCCAAAGTGTCAAATATTGAATTTCTGACCAACCATAATTCTGATTATTTGAGATCATCTTTATTAAACCGAATTCGTAAAAATTTATTTGTTGTACATTACATGTATGAATGCTTAAAATGTTTATTACAATGAATGGGACGGAGTTTGTTTTTTTTTTCCTCATAAAAAGAACCCAAATTTTTTAAAAAAAAATTTTCAAAAATTTTTTTTTTTTATACTGCGGGGAGTGTATAAATTTAGTTGAATTTTTTTTTTTTGTAAAATAATCTTATATTTAATATGTTTAAAAAACGCTCGGAAAGTTCAGAAAGCTCGGGAAAAACACCGAAAAAACCAACGGAAAAATCAACGGAAAAATTATCAAACTCATCTGATACCTTGAGCAAAATGGGGGAAATTGCTGTTGAAGTTGGCGGAGCAGCAGCTGGAATGGTCGATACTTTAAAAAACAATCTTCCAAGCGGCAGTACTACTCAAGCATTCTTTAAAACCGCAGGAGATATAGCCGAAGCTGTTACTCCTTTCCTACCTCTTGTGGGACTTGTGGGTACTTTAACAAAGGAAATTGTAGAAGCATATGATAATGTTCAATATAATAAAAAAACCTGTAGTGCATTAGTCAATCGAGTTGAAGCTGCTGAATTTTCTATTAAAGCATTGATGAGACAAAAAGAAGAGAATCTTAAAAATTTTAAGGATCAAAATTATTATCAAACTTTTGTAAGATTTACAAATTGTCTAAAACAAATTAAGAAATTATTTGAAGATATTTCTCAATTACCTAAATTTAAAAAATTTGTTTCGAGTGCAAATATTAAAGAAAGGTTTAAAGAGAATATTGAAGAATTTAATAATTGCTCTAATGATTTAAATTTATCAATTTCTATCGCTACACAAGATCAATTGGATAAGGATTTGGCAATTTTACATGAAGATATGATTGAAATGAATAAGGTATGTAAAACATATAATTTCCAAATTGCCTAATTTGAATTCTTTCGACCAATTATTAATTTAATGATATAAAAAAAATATTTTTTTTTCATATACGTATATAGTTTTTACATAAGATTGAAGGTGGTATCACAGTTACAGTTGATAATACCGAAACAATCATGAACAAATTGGAAATCCAAAACAATGAAATAAAAATAATAGTTGAAAATGTTATAGAACAAAATAAACGGCTTATAGAAATGAATGAAAAACTCGATGAAGACAGAGATAAAACGATCAAATTCACATCTCTTAATAGAGTAATTGATACTATTTCCTTACTTAATAAACAAGTAAATGAACAAGACTCAACAGTAGTGGTTACAGCCAAAGATATTAAAGCTTCAGAACTCCAAGATCCTCTAAGATATGTAAAACCACGTCAAGGTAGCAGAGTAAAAATTCAAAAAAAAATTTATAATGCATTGGAAGTGGCTTGTAAACCTATTTCTGTAGACAATATTCAAAAAACTAAAAAGCACCTTGCTATCTTGGAAAAATTGGATGCTTGCCCATATATTATTAAATTTCATGGATTATCGGAAATAGCTACAGAAAAAGTAATGGTTTTTGAATGGGCAGAACTTGGTAATTTAAAAGATGTTTATCAACAATTTAAGATTGATTGGGAGGCAAAGATTACTATTACGAGAGATATTTGTCGTGGCTTGGCTTTTTTGCAATCAGGTATGATAATTTTTATTCACTAGTAAAATGTGATGTCCAATTTCGGTACGATCACTAACTTGTTAATTTTGTCATTTCACTTTACAGTAAAAATTTTGCATCATGATATTCGATGTGAAAACGTATTAATTAATGAAAACATACAACCTAAACTTACCAATTTCAAATTTGCCCGTGAATTTAATGCTAACACTATTCAAATTGATAATATAAATGCATTGATACATTGGTTAGCACCGGAAAAATTAAGTCATATTTCAGCAGAACAGGATAAAAAGTCTAAAAAAACGGAAGAAGCCAGATATACCATTCAATGTGAAATTTTTAGTTTTGGAATGCTTCTTTGGGAACTTGCTTTTCAAAAAATACCATACGAAGGTATGAGTATGTTAGATATACAAAAACATGTTCTAAAAGGTAAAAGGGAGACATTGAATTTCGGATTAAGTCCTCATCCAATTCAAAGAGAATTTGGTGAAATTATTAAACTTGCTTGGCAACAAGATCCATCATTACGTCCGGGAATCCAACTTCTCTTTAACATGTTACAGGAGTCATATGAGAAAAATGTATTATCAAACAAAGGTTCTCCATTAATACGTCCGTTAAAGGAAAATACTACCGAAATTACTACAGGAGATGCGGATTTAGATAGTTTATGTCTTTCGGATTCTGAAGATCAAAATGAATCAGTTATACAAATCGTTGTACCATTAATTCCAGTTAAGGAAGGTTTACAAGCTCATAAAGAAGGCAATCATAAGAAAGCTTGGGAATGCTTTGAAGCAAATGCAAATGTCGGAGATATATTAGCAATATATTGGCAAGGCTATTATTATTTGGAAGGAAAATATGTTGATAAAAACAAACAAAAGGCAATGGATTTATTTAGAAAAGCAGCAGATGCTGGCAATGCTGATGCTCAATTACGATATGCTTTTTGTTTAATTGATAAGGAAAATAAAAACATCGATAGTAGTAAATTTATGAAATATTTACAACTAGCGGCTGATAATAATAATGCTACGGCTCTTTATAATCTTGGTGATGTATATTTCTCTGGTAAACTGGGTATTAAAAAGGATAAGGAAAAAGGTATTCATTATTTGAGACAAGCTGCTTTACATAAGCAAACTAAGGCAAAAGAGGTACTAGACAAAAATGGCATTAGTATACATTAGTATATATGGTTAATTATTATACACGAGTTCGAGCTAAGTTATTTCGAAATAAAAATAACAAGTAAGTTATTAACACACGTGACAAATAATTATGACGAAATCACAATGATATTGTAAATGTCAATAAGAAATAATTTTACACTAAAATAAAGTATACCATCTAGATTTAAGCTCTTTAAATTATATATATTGTTTGACGATAATTTAATCTTGTTTTTGTGGAATCTCGTTCTCTCCTCGGCTAATGTCAAGTTTAAAATTAAAATTTATTTACTGGTCAGGCATAACGACTCTTTATTTGTCTAATTATTTTATTTACTGTATTTAGTAATGAATCATTCATTCACGAAAATTTATTTAGTACAGGATCAAATATTAAAAAAAAATTTCACTTAGATATTATTTATTTAATGCATAAAAATATATAAATGTTAAATTACTGGTTGAAGAGGAATAATATTTAGATGTTTCGGTTCATCGTTTTTCTTTACGGTCTATAACTTGGACAGAAATCTTTCCGTTATTATAATTCATTGTATTTATTGCATGCGATAAGAATTCCGACCAATCATGTAAAAATTGATCTTTTAAATAATGCCTATCACTGAATCGAACTTCCAAACGAAATTCAGTATGAAAATGTCAACTTTGGTACGTTATTCTTTTCACAGGTTTGTAAATTAAATTATTTATAATATAAATAAAAATTAATTTTACACTAAAATATTCTAGTTTATTTATTCTTGTATATTCTCGTATAATCTTGGGTATCTACAATTGGTATTTCCTCTTTCAAATATTCTTCTCTCAGAATTTCAATTAATCTCTGAGACCATCAATCCTCTCTTTTATTTTCTTTGTATCCAAATGTGAATTAAATTCTTTAGGAAAATTTTCAAATACAATTTTCTTAAATTCATCTTCTCTCTTACTATTAAACCCGTTCCCAAATAATTTCCTTCTACCATATAATCGTATCCATACTCAATCTTTTATACCCTGGATTAGCAAACATATATACACTCCTCTGATCATTACTCGCAGTCTGAAAACTTGAAGTTCCCATATCATCGGTGCTAACAGATCAGATCATCTATCTAATCTGTCCATTTATCAATTTTTAACTTTGTTAATATAAAATCTTAATATTTTTTGATTTTCTCTATATAATTCCCTTTCTTTATCCCCTCCTAATTGATATGTTTTTCTATGTCTTTTTACTTGTTCTCGAGATTTTTTATCTTCTTCTCTAAATCTTCGTACTCTTTCAATTTCTTCTTCTGTTGGTCCACTACTAGATCCACCACTTTCTCTATTTGTAAATAATCCTTCATACATCCTTTCTTTATTAATACTTCTACACCCTAACACACTTTTTCCAAAATCCATTTCACAATCGATTCCATATGATTAAATATAATCTGAAAGTCACTGATATTTACCCAACAACTATTATAAATTTCTCAATTACCTAAATCAGAAATTCAAGGTTTGAAGTAGAATCCAACTCAAAGATGTACTGCTGCAAAGATATCGTTCTTGACCCGTACTACGTATTTGACTTTACCCGCATAATATATTAATAAGGGTGGTTAAGAAAATAAAATAAAATTTAATAAATCAACATTTTTTTTTATCCGGAAATCTGGAATATTTCCCTTGGTGCTTTTTTTAATGTCCTTCATAGTACTTCTAGATCATTTTCGACCCAGCCCAGGTTTCTTCATAATGGGCAACCAAAGTTAGTGTCATATGTCCAGTTTGGTTTTGAAATTTTTATTGGATAACGAAGAACGTACGTAAGGAGTGTAAATTACTTTTGCTGTAGGGTCATGGTGACATCAAACTTTTATTTAATCTAAATCACATGATTTTACATTTAAACCAATCATAATTAAGACTCAGAGACTTTTATTCCGACACGTGACAACTAGCCAATCATTATTGCATATTTTATTGACTATATCGTAAAAAAACTAGTCATTTCAATCGTTTTTGGCTAAAATTATTGTCGTGTCACTAGCGCAACCTAAGTTGGCCTGCATTAAGATGTAAGCCGGCTAGAATTATCAAATGCTTCTTACTATAATTGGTAATTTTTTATCGGAATAAAATCGATATAATATCGGAATACATTATTTTATTCACGTGTAATTCTGGCTAAAAATATCATAATGTGGGCCAAGGTCAAATTGGAATCAGATATATAAAATTCCATATTTATAACTTTGATGCAATAATCCGTTTTAATTATCTCAACGTAGTTAAATAGAATTTATCAAGAAGTATCAATTATTAGCGTTGAGTTTTTTTTAAAATAATTTCTCAATATTTTTTTTTATTAATATTAAAGATCATCAATTTTCTTATGGCACTATCCGTTAATGCGCCCATAAAAGGAAAAAATAGTATTACCGGATCCAGATTCCGGGTATTCCGGTATTTCCAAAATTCCAATAATCACAAGTTTAAAATTAAAAGCCTATCTGACTTCGCCTACCAATCATTTAAAATACAAAATTTTGTGGATTATTTAAATCGACTCAAATTGTTTTTTTAACGATAATTTTCTTTAAATATTTTTTTTTTTTTTGTTTGTCTCGCTTCGATCATCATTATATACATTCTAAAATCACGGACACTCCTTTATTTAATTTATTTATTACTGTATTTGTAAGTAATGAATGCATTCGTACAACGTTTAAAAATTTTCCGCATTTATTTAACGCGATAAAATTACTGGTTGAATAGATACTAAATTTGGCATATATTGAATACTGTTAAGGATATTTTAGATTCATTGTCAATTGTTTCAAAGTTCGTAGTCTATAAATTCAGATAAAAATCATGAATTGTATTACAGTCTTTTCCGGATATATATATATACATGTATAATATATTGACGTAATATTTGGATCTCTATAATGAACAAATAAAGAAATTATACTATTGAAATAAAATAATCCTGTGAAATTTTGTATGCAATAAATGAGAACAAAACAAAATAAATTTCATTCTTAACTTCCTGCAATTCGGTTTATAAAAATTTTATGACGTTCCGAATAGAAAAAATCGTTTTCTTAAAAAGCATTCCGACCAATCATACTGGGAGTAGATCATCCGAATTTGTAAATTATTTGTTGTGCATGCTTATAAATGAACCGGAGTTTATTTCTATTCACTTTGTTCTTTTTTTTTATAAATAAACCCCGAATTTATCATTCAAAAAAAAAAAAAATTGTTACAGATTTAATACTGCGGCTTGTACAATTAGGAAATCAAATATAAATATAAAAAATGTCGAAGTCAAAACGCTTGGATAAAGCAGCAGAAATCATTGATAAATCTGCAGAAGTAATGACAGGAATGGTTGATGCATTCAAAAGCAATATTCCAAATGGTACTACTCAAGCAATCGTGACTGTAGCAGAAGCCGTTGCTCCTTTTCTACCTCTTGCGGCGCTTGTGGCTACTTTAACAAAAGAAATTGTAGAAGCATATGAAAATGTTCAATATAACAAAAAAACTTGTAGTGCATTAGTCAATCGAGTTGAAGCTGCCGAAACTTCAATTAAAGCATTGATGAGACAAAAAGAAGAGAATCTTAAAAATTTTCGGGATCAAAATTATTATAAAACTTTTATAAGATTTACAAATTGTTTAAAACAAATTAAGAAATTATTTGATGATATTTCTCAATTACCTAAATTTAAAAAATTTGTTTCGAGTGCAAGTATCAGAGAAAGGTTTGAAAAGAGTATCAAAGAATTCAATAGCTGCTCTAATGATTTAAATTTAGCAATTTCTATCGCTACACAAGATCAATTGAATAAGGATTTGATAATTTTACATGATGATATGATTGAAATGAATAAGGTACGTAAACATATAAATTTCCTATTCCAAGTTAATTTCCTTTGACCAAGTACTTTTAATGATACAGGAAAAAATCATTTTTTTTTCACATACGATAGTTTTTACATAAGATTGAAGGTGGTATCACAGATACAGTTAATAATACCGAAACAATCGTGAACAAATTGGAAATTCAAAACAATGAAATAAAAATCATAGTTGAAAATATTATAGAACAAAATAAACGACTTACGGAAATGAATGAAAGACTCGATGAAGACAAAAAAGAAAATAAAACGATCAAATTTACTTCGCTCAATAGAGTAATTGATTCTATTTTCTTACTTAATAAACAAGTGAATGAACAAAATTCAGCAATAGTAGTTAAAGCAAAAGAAATTAAAGCTTCAGAACTCAAAGATCCTCTAAAATATGTACCACCACGTCAAGGTAGCAGAGTAAAAATTCAAAAAAAAGTTTATAATGCATTGGAAGTTGCTTGTAAACCCATTTCTGTAGACGATATCCAAAAAACTCAAAAGCACCTTGCTATCTTAGAAAAATTGGATGCTTGCCCATATATTATTAAATTTCATGGGCTATCGGAAATTTCTACAGAAAAAGTAATGGTTTTTGAATGGGCAGAGCTTGGAACTTTAAAAAATGTTTATAAAAATTATAAGATTGATTGGGAGGCAAAGATTTCTATTGCAAGAGATATTTGTCGTGGTTTAGCTTTTTTGCAATCAGGTATGATAATTTTTATTCATTAGTAAATATCCAATTTCGGTGCAATCATTAACTTCTTAATTTTGTCATTTCACTTTACAGTAAAGATTTTGCACCATGATATTCGATGTGAAAACGTATTAATTAATGAGAACATACAACCAAAACTTACCAATTTCAAATTTGCCCGTGAATTTCATGCTAATACTACTCAAATTGATGATATAAATGCTCTGATACATTGGTTAGCACCGGAAAAATTAAGTCATATTTCAGCAGAACAGGACAAAAAGCCTAAAAAAGCGGATGATTGCAGATATACCATTCAATGTGAAATTTTTAGTTTTGGAATGCTTCTTTGGGAACTTGCTTTTCAAAAAATACCATACGACGGTATGAGTATGTTGGATGTACAAAAATATGTTCTAAAAGGCAAAAGAGAGACATTGAATTTCGGATTAAGTCCTCATCCAATTCAAAGAGAATTTGGTGAAATTATTAAACTTGCTTGGCAACAAGATCCATCATTACGTCCAGGAATCCAACTTCTCTTTAACAAGTTACAGGAGTCATATGAGAAAAATGTATTATCAAACAAAGGTTCTCCATTAATACGTCCGTTAAAGGAAAATACTACCGAAATTACTACAGGAGATGCGGATTTAGATAGTTTATGTCTTTCGGATTCTGAAGATCAAAATGAATCAGTTATACAAATCGTTGTACCATTAATTCCAGTTAAGGAAGGTTTACAAGCTCATAAAGAAGGCAATCATAAGAAAGCTTGGGAATGCTTTGAAGCAAATGCAAATGTCGGAGATATATTAGCAATATATTGGCAAGGCTATTATTATTTGGAAGGAAAATATGTTGATAAAAACAAACAAAAGGCAATGGATTTATTTAGAAAAGCAGCAGATGCTGGCAATGCTGATGCTCAATTACGATATGCTTTTTGTTTAATTGATAAGGAAAATAAAAACATCGATAGTAGTAAATTTATGAAATATTTACAACTAGCGGCTGATAATAATAATGCTACAGCTCTTTATAATCTTGGTGATGTATATTTCTCTGGTAAACTGGGTATTAAAAAGGACAAGGAAAAAGGTATTCATTATTTGAAACAAGCTGCCTTACATAAGCAAGCTAAGGCAAAAGAAATATTGGATAAATATGGTATTAATGTATATCGATAATGAGTTATTATCAATTAATTTTTTTGTGTATATTTTATATAATATTAAAATAATAAATAATAAATTATTATTAATTGAAAAGAAATTATAAACATTTTTATTTTTTCATAAAGTTACCTCATGAACTCATGAACTTTTTCTCTTAATATTTTAAAATTTTTTCAATGAGTCTTACAATTTCTCTGTGATGTTTATTACTTCAATATTAAACTGGATACTGAATAGGGGTGGTGATCGGTTCGTCGGTTCTATTTCGGTTATTCGTTCAGCTCTTTTAAGTAAAATATGAGCTACATGCGTCAAATTTAAGAGCATGCGATGAAGATCGATTAGAAAAATTTTGATTGGTCCGTGATCGTCATAATTTTGATGACAACCTGGCACCCTGCCAATTCTATGACGCTACCATGGTGCTGAGTTGGATCCTCAAATTATTGAATTTTGCTATCTGCGCCGCAAATAATCGAACACATGGCTACATTTTCGACTTCACTATTTTCAAGATGAACAGCACATAACAAAAATCAGATGTATAGAGATTTCCTCAGGATCATTAGTCATTTTACTTAAAAATCTTGTCTTTCAAAGCCTGCTGAGTTATTATATAATACATAATGATGTGTTATAATTTATTTCCGTAGCCTAAGCATCGATAATTCTTTTTAGATGAAAGAATTATTTTTGAATAATAATCCAAGCATCAGTTTATAGCCCGAGACTCACTAAACATTAAGCCTCTGTACTGAATTTTATACATATAAATACCTCTACACTCTATACGATTTGAAAAGTAGAGAAAATTTTCAAAAACAAAAAAGTAAAAATAAAATCAAAATGAAATTCAACCTTTTTTTGCTCCTTTTGACCACTCTTATTGCTGTCGTGTCGACTCAAACTCTAGCAATAGGGAGAATTAAAGCAAAAGCAAACACCGCTTTTTTTTTGGGGGATAGATACTACTGGTAAAATTGTTCTAACAAATCCAGGTTCTATCTGGCAATTGAAAGAGACTACTGTTAAAGGAATTTACCAAATTAATCCCGCTACTTCTCCTAACCAATTCGTTCAAGACAATGGTAAAGGCCAAGCGCTTACTTATAATAACAACGCTAATGCTCAACAAAGCCAATATTTTCGCATTGATACCACTCCTGTGTTAGGTGGTAAAGAATTCACAATTCAATCCGCACTCACAAGTGGTTTTGCATCAACAATTGTTGGATCTCCTTTTGTTCTTGATAGTACTGTTCCACAATCATGGGTGTTACAGCATTAAATATTATTTTTTTTTTATATTTTATGTTACCTATTTGTATTCGTATTATGTAATTATGTAATTGTGTAATTGTGATATGTTTGTAAGTTAAAAAATAAAGCAAGATTATAATTTTTTGTATGTGAGACATGTCTGTGTGACATAAAATGCTCAGTGCTTTCACAAATAAAGTTTTTATCACTCCGGAACGTAACAATATCGCTATTAATGACAGATACACCATACACTTCTGCTACTATGAGATGCTCATGTTAGCGGATGAATAAAAAAATAGGAAAATTACTGAATTTAATCCAATTGAATCAATGATACTGAAGGACTTATCTCATTTTTGCAGAGACAGGATACTAGGGACACTAGGGACAAACATAGAAGAGCAGAATAATAAAGCTTAGGAACGCAGAAATGGATATCAAAGCTGTCCCTAGAAGCGTCCCCAGTAAGTATATACCAAGTTTTCCTAGGGACGCTCAAAAATTAGTATACTCATTGCCTCGACCCAGATTAAACCATGATCGGGCCTCGGAAGTGCTTACAATATCCCTCCAATATCCCTCAGAAACTTAGAAGCATATTTCGGAATTACCTTTGGAATATAATTTGAAAATACTGGAAATGTAACAGAGGCGCAACACGTATATTGCAAGCATATCCCTCGAAAGTGACGAGAAAGTGCCGGGAACTGATATAATTCTTACTGCTATGTCAAATCATCAATCGGCAAAAACATCGTGAAATCATTGAAAATAACTCCGCAAATAAAAATTAATAGTATGCGCACTGGCCATTTGAGATCATCTAATCGAATCATTGTTATATTTGACGTCCATGAAAATTTCGGAGGATATATATACTTCATACGTATAATAGGCGCAGTGAAATTATTCACATGAATCTCAACACATGCAAAAGTCTTGCGCAGTATCGATTTTGCTACGGATTTTAATCATCATTAATCTGTGTGACAATAGATTTTATATAAATAAGTAAAAAAAATTGGTTAATTGTTTTTTAATCATTAATCATTAGTACGTACAAAAAAATTATTAGATATATAACAAATTCGTCATGCCTATTCCCATCCTACTGTAACTAAAGACACTAAAAACAAGACTAATAAAGACAAGAGCCCTTTGCTTGGCCTTTTCTTAATTGTTTTCTTGTTTATTCTATTACTTCCTTCTGTATTCTTTGTTTTTCTTTTTATAACTTGCACAATTATTACAATTATTGTGCTCACTCCCATTTGGCTCCCGTTTGCAGTCTCGTTTGCTTGGTATAAATCTTTTCCGAGTAAATATATAATAAACACGTACTGTCAAAAGTATTTATACTAAGATCAATTAACGTCTCTTTAGGTTTTTTAATTTATCTCGAACAATAGGATCTCTTCAGCCAGTTCAAATTCTACCTGAAACGCCTCAAACTCTCTTAAAGTATGAGAGAATGCCTGGTCAAGTGAAAATGTTTCTTGGTAATAAATTTTTATTTCTTGAATAGCATAGTGGCGATACATATAGTAGTGTTTTGATGTTTATTTTCTTGATCTATTTATAGCTTGTATGAGCAATAACTTTAGCTGACCCCCTCAATGCCGGAACATATGAGGAGATTTTGTTTCAACCAGATCACTGATTCCGAGTCTAATATTGATGTTCAAAGTGGGTACAACATCATATTCTTTTACAACGCACTTGAAAGTGGGGAATTTTTAGGACACGAAAATGATTGGGTGATGGTATACAACCAGGAAATAATAGCATATGGAAAACTGTATAGCGATGATGAATTGAACCACATTTTCAAAAAGATGCCTAGTGCCATACAACTTCCAGTCAATCAGAAACGTCTTCCACGCAGTAAAAAAAGAAAGATGGTAACTACTAATCATGTTAATAATGCGAGTGATTACAAGGTTTGAATACGTACTTGATCGTAAATTAAAAAATTAGTTTTAAAACTTTTTAAATTATAAATTTTAGTACATAAAAATATATATATAGATCTCGAAACAATTTGATTTTTTCAAATAAAGGTCAGAGCTAGCGTTAGAAGACCTGAAGAACCTGGACTAGTTGCTCTGATCAATTATACCTTGTATGATAAGTATAATAATAATAAAATATACGAATGTGTTATAGATACGGGTGCACCTTCGACGATCTTTCCATTTCACATTAAAAGAACACTCCGGGGAGATGAAGGATGGAAAAAAAATCCTATAACAAGCTCAGGCTATGGAGAGGGTGCAAATGAAATCTATGCAACTAGAATGTTTGAAGTCCGCCTAGGTGATAAACATGATTGGACAAAATGGGTCCAAGCAAAGATTTCAGTTTGGGAACAAGATCCTGGCGATGAAGTAGAGCATGCACTCATCGGTAATGATATTACCGATCAACTTGCATACGCACACGAACCGAAACGTCCAATAAAATTTTTAGATAGTACAGATGAGGAAAAACTCACCCAGTTTTTGAATAATTCATTAACGAAGATTGTTGTTTTGTTTATCAATTTTTACCCTTTCCAAACTGCTAATCGTCTATGTAAATCATGAAATACTTGAGCTATGTGTACTTTAAATTCATAAATCACGCGATGATGGTGTAATCATCCAATAAAGTTGTATTTGGCTTTTTATAAATTATATTTTATACTTCATTTATTCTTTTTAAGCTTAAACGTTATGAAATAATCCAATATACCGCAAGTTTGATAGGAGTTACTAAAAGCTTCGGACGAGACATGGGATGGATCTTATCAAATAAGTTGTATGTTTAGAGCATAGGCCCGGTCAGTGTTGTGACTGGGACTGGGACATGTCCTTGGATGGGACAGGACAGGACAGTCCAGGACTCGGACAAGATGTTGTTGATGTCCAGGACAAAAATTCATTATAAGAGGATATATGATTTATATATAATATTAATAAATTGGACAATGTTTTGGACGGGACAAATGAAATTGGACTTGGACAGGACATTAAAATTTTGTGGGACACTGTCCCGCCACATCACTGGGCCCGGTCATGTAAAATCGATCACTTGAAATGCGCAGTACGATATCGGGAAAATTCTTGCCGAAGAATAGGGACTGTGGCACTGTGCGACATGCGAATCGCATATATTGTATATATTCGCATTATTTTTTTTTTGACTTGATTTGCATTTATTTTTTGCATGTCATGTCTCTGGCCACACTATTATCATATCAGTAAAACAATATTCGGGTATGGATATTTTTTCCAGCAATCATTATTTCGCATATGATTGAAATAGAATAAAATAGGTGACTTTAAGATCCAAATAAGTCAAATTAAGCCAAGAAATTTAATATAAAATTGAGTTTAAGAAGTTTATAATATAACATTGAAGTAATATTCATTTATAAACAATACCACAAATTATAAGAAATAAACATAAATATTTATAGATAAGGCCTTGCCTACTATTAAGATAGGTCATCCTGTGACCTAAGGTAAGGTTTACATACAAAACTTTAAAAATTCTACTATAAAAAGAGGTCATCTAAAGCAGGGTAAATCACATGATTTTGTATAATTTTGATTAGATTAATTTTTTATAAGTAAAGATTAATATAAACTTTAAAATCATAAAATAAGCATATTTTAATCTGCTTTGCAAGTTTACTTAAGGAAAAAAAGTGGATTTTGAATATTGTTTTGACTTTACATATGAATGAACGAAACTTTGCCAATCATATTTAAAAATGGATAACAAAATGAAAAAAGTCAAATAAATCAAAAATAGGATTCAAACCCCTACTCTGCGCTTTAAGTAAACTTGCAGAGCAGGCAAAAATTCATTTAGCATATGTATTTAAAATGGTTATATATATCAGTTACTGGACATTTCCAGCGCAGCGCTAATCACTAATTAAAAATTTTGTACTACATAAATTAGCCTATCTTCATTTAGTTCGAACGGGACAAAGATTTAACAAAATATAACTTTTTTTACAATACATTAAAAGTATCATATATGAACTTTCAAATGACACTAATTTTATCAAAATACCTCACTTCCTTAAATATTTCACTATATAAGGTTTTTCTATGACTTTTT